CGTTATCACTGGAAGTGTAACAACGTGGTTCCCTGCTATCTGCATATACACATTATGAGACCGGTTGAATATATATTGCAGCGCACTCTTCACCGTTACCGTTGTGACAAAATGTGTTGCCCATCGTGACCCGGTACCCAAAGGGGTAGTGGTGTTGGCTGCTATTCCAATGGTCGTGAGTTCAAATCCTGCTGTCTCCACCTGATGAGATGAAAATTACATAGAAACGCGTCGTGGCTGTGCAGTGTTTTCGGGTGGGCAATACCCAATTTCTATCTACTTTGAATACGGTCCCAGTGATCGCGGCGACCAAGGTTCATTTCAATGTGAATCCCAGTCCATTAAATTGAGGTTGCGCTCTAATTAGTCAGTTACCGTTGTGACAAAATGTGTTGCCCATCGTGACCCGGTACCCAAAGGGGTAGTGGTGTTGGCTGCTATTCCAATGGTCGTGGTTTCAAATCCTGCTGTCTCCACCTGATGAGATGGAAATTACATAGAAACGCGTCGTGGCTGTGCAGTGTTTTCGGGTGGGCAATACCCAATTTCTATCTAAGCTTGAGAATATTTGAAATGCAGCGCGTCCCAGGCTACGGCCGAACCTTAAAGGCACCCATAATCAAGCATTCATTGTCTCCACTGTGCATCCTCAAAGACTCCAGATTACAGGATCCTGAACGTAAGGGTATCTGTAGATAACGCCCACTATGAGTGTACTGACCCCCTCATGAACCGTGCACCAAAGCATTTCGGATCCTGCTTGGAGATCACATATGGTTTCCACTGGGTGCACATTAATGTCTGGCTTTCAGTAAAATGTCCCCCGCCCACATATCTCTCTTTTAGACGATCCGCCGGGACATTTGTTACCCTGGAATATATACCTCCGAGTCTGAAATATCCGCAGCTGGCGTAGCCTCCGTTTGCTTGGCTGTTCTCATCTGCGCACGACAGCATACCACCTGGCGGTTAACGGTTTAGTTGAGCGTTTTCACAGCCAACACAAGGCCGCACTCACTGCCACACGACATAGTTTTCAGTGGTCGGAGCGTTTACAGAGCATTTTTCGCGGTTTTCGCATTACTGTAAACTAATATCCCGGCCGTTGTCCCGCAGAGTTAGTCTTTGGTACGACAATTGGGCTGCTTGGAGAATTAGTATTGGATTTAAGGGTCACCGCGGAAGTTGATCCTATGTCAAATGTTGCACGACTGAGGCGACACTTCAGCGCCATTCGTCCAACTCCACTACGGTTTATTTTCTTGAGGCCAACAAGTTCACCCCGACATGTAAACGTGTCAATTCGTTCTCGTGCGCGACGATGCAGTTCACAAACCTCTGATATCGTCTTACAAAAACCCTTTCGAAGTCATCGCTCGCAAAGGGAAGTATTACGCATTGGACAGAAATGCTTCTAGATATTATGTTAATATTTATCGTCTTAAGGCAGCCTAAGTTCTACTCAGTCATGCAACAGGCTTCTGACACTACTGAGGTTGAACAGACACAGCTGCAAGCACCCTACCCATCCAACTGATGCGTGACTCCAGTACACCCCAGCCCAAACGCAAGTTGTCGCAAATGCAGGCATTCAAAATTGTACAGGTTTTAAGTGTCTAGTTATTCTTCTTTTAAATCAGCTATGCATGTCAGATAGCATGTACCGAGCGTTCATCCACACAAATCACTCCCTGGGGGCACTCTGTAGCGCTTGCACACTTCCTCAGTTATAATTATGCTTTCAGGTTCTATGTTTATTTATTTATTGTACAGTTGTTTTTAGTATCACAATCGATACAAAAATACTTCAAATTTCTTTTGGCTTCTAGGTTTACCCCGCTGGGCGTGCGTTCTTCGGGATTGTTCGGTGATTTTCCGGACGTGTGAGAGCTGTCTGAGTGAGTCTAGATGTGACGAATTTCTACCTATACAATTCAACTACCCGTACTGCCACTGTAAAATTTTATTTGTTTATGAGTTATCTTGGACCATTCTTGTAAAGGAAATTTCCATAAAAGTCTGTATTTTGCCTTTCTACGCCTCTCGTCTAAAAGCCGCCTCTATCCCTCGTATGTTCATCCTTCGTTTTGTCAGTACTTTTGTTCTTCCTTACTGGACGTTCTGCAACCCATGTGCTTTTCTCTAATCTTCTGCATAAGCATTTTAAGCTGATTGCTTTGTCTTTATGGCACTTATTTCGATGTAACGTCATCCCGATGCCTACTGTTGTCACTACTCTTCTTTTACACACACTAATTCTTGTAAGAAAATAGCATCTGAGATACTGGCTGTACTTACTCATCCGCTTTCCATCGCTTTATGATGATGTCCGTCACCTTCATCTACTAGCTAGAAATACAAGCTGATTTATGCACGTAACATGCCTACGGCTTGTCAGTTATTCCTTATCTTACGTGTTTTCCACGAGACCTCAACGCTGTCGTACTAAACCTAACCTAATCTAATCTAAATCTAACCAACCGCGATATGATGGCGATTCTGCCCGTTTATATCAAGCCGATACATGGTACATTTCTTCAATTGTTTATACTCTGGTACCCTGCTAAAATCGTGTGTGTTGTAGCTGAATATTCCCTCGCCAAAGTGTATAAAGCAGATTTTAACTTAACTTGATAATGCGCAGACTCGTATTTAATGAAACACACAATCTAATCCACTCCATGATAGTGCTTTCCAGAAGCCTGTGACCGAACGCTTTGTTTGGCCCTACGTCAACCGCGATGTCCGAATTTGTGTTAGCGCATGCTCAAATTGTCAGTATGCCAAAGTGTCCATACCCACCAAAAATACACTCGGCGTCTTTCTCGCTCCTGGCGTACGTTTCGCGCACATTCACGTCAACCTGGTCGGACCTTTGTCCCCATGCAACGGCTACGTGTCGATAGGTGTACGCGACGTACAGAAGTTATTGTGATCGCCGACTGCTCATGCGAGACAGTTGCGCTTGTTTTTACAGAATGCTGGGCAGTCCAATTGGGTTACTCCATCGTACTGAGCACAGACCGGGAATCACATTTTGACGGATATTGCAATAGACTACTTAATATTTTGCCGATATAACCGTTCCTCTGTATGCCACCCCGCAGCTAACTAAATGGTAGAAAGGTTTCATTGGCAACGCAAAGCGTCACTTTGCGCCCCGTCTAACACATTGTGGTATGAAGCACTTTCACTAGTTCTTTCAGTCTCAAGAAACACGATTAAAATGGACTTGTATGGCACTCCACCTTCTCCAATGTTTGGCTTCCCCCAGCACTTACATGGTGAACTTGTCACTCCGAAAGCCACAACAACTCTCGGCTACGGCGAGTATGCGGTTTACCTATCTCATCAACTGCCACAACTTAGGCCTGCGCAACCCGTAGAAAAAGCTTGAATAGCAACGCGGAGGAACCCTTTTGTCACTTGCACTCAGGTGTAGATTCGCATAGACAGCGTAAGTTGACCACTCTAACAATCTTTCACTGCCCGTACGGTGTCATACGCAGGAGCAACAATATAATTACCGTTGACTGCAGTGGTAACACAGAGACGATCATGCTCCTATAAACGTCCTTCAAAATTCACCATAGGATATAAAATGTTTGTAAACTACCAACAAAGAAGAAATCCTTTTATAAACCCAACATGTAGGTTCGTATGTTTAGCTCATTACAACATTTTGTGTATACATGCCCATGTATTTAAGCTGCCTTTTTCATTTTATTTTCCATATGCACACCAAAGTTTAATGACCCTTATTTTCAAGTTGTGCTGCAACTCCTCACCTCAGTTCGAAACACATCGAACTCCTTGCTCAGCCAGCTATCTGGAAGTTCATGAACTGTCCTTCCACAAACATATTTGCCGTTTCCATAACCTAGGGAGGACCAGGGTGAAAACCCACTAGGATCCGTTCACATTAGTGGGTCCCCAGCCGCTGCCTCCGGTTCAGTTCACACAGCTAGGAGGTCCTATGGTTCAGCGTGGCCACGTGGTTGCGCAGAATTCTGGCTGGCGACTGATAGCCCTCGCGTAGATCGTAGGACTGCTTACATAGTCTTTGCTGTGGGGATTGATGTAGCAGTCTGGCGATTCCCCGGTTTACATGTGTAAAATTCGGGTCAACTTTAGGCAATTGGGTCGTGCTCTAAAATGCCACGCTGAAATGTACACAGAGTGATCAAGCAATAAAGACTACAAAACGTATGACAAGTTCTTCATTTAGCGGCTGTAGGTTGGGTGCTGTCTCACTGTACTGACCTTGCGTTCGGCCACTGTTTACGGTCAAAAATGCCGCTATCCGGCTTGGGATTTGGAAAACTGCGCTCCGGTGCATCTGCGAGAAGTGTGTGATAACTATGGTGTAGCGAAATTTGATACTCACAAGTTCAGAGTAAAAGATGTTGAGCACCAAATATCGCTGATTAAGCTAGATCGAATGAGTGTGAGCCTAAGTGTGTGCGATCAGAATTGTGAATAAATACGAACTAAGCACGAGAGCAGAATGCGACCGCAGGAGAATAGCAATTCAACATTCACAAACGCAGCAACTAGTGAGAAGGACCGGGTGTGGTTTTACTTGTTGCATTTTGCTATGCAGAATACTAACGAGCTGTTTACCTCCTCGTCACACTTAGTTTCCATTAATTACTGTTTATCCCTGCAATAGACCAACATCAGTAATAGATATATTGCCTTTCCAATAAATATTCCTCCGTTTCATAGCTTAGCGTTGTCAATGGAGTGTCAACGGTTGTATAATTTCCTCATAGTTTTACAGATCAAGTCAATTGCAGGTGATATAATTTACTATGGAATGTTCGTTACTCACGATTGTCACGACCACCCACTTATGAAAATCTTTACTTTTTCAAAAGGAAGAAACCACTTGTTCAATGATCAGTATATCGGTATGTGTAATTTAACAGTTAAAACAGTGTAATTAAAACGGCATGGTGAAATGAAGTTAAGTACAAATTAATTGTCTGTGGGGCAACTCATTTTCTGTTCAATATGCTGTGCAAATGAAAATAAATGAGATGTTAAACGGTCGTTTTATAATATCCGACCAATAATAAATAGGTAATGATGAGATTATTCGTCAGCATTGCTATATGTTTCTATGTATCCACCTGGTAAACGCAGCAAATTTTATTAAGCGTAGTAACTAGGCCAACTGTTGCAATTTTCGAATATACATCAACTACAGTAGATGGAAATTGGGTATTGCCCACCCGAATGTGAATCACAGTCCATTACATTGAGGTTGCGTGTCACAATCCAATCACACAACGTGCAGTCCAAACTTGACCCTCCAATTACATCAACTACCATTCCTAAAAGCGTTCCAAACTATTATTTGACAAAATGCCAGTTTAACATAATATAAATGGTTGTCTTGCGATTCTCATTGTTGTACCCTGTATTCAGTGTATACAGCACCATCAGACGTCTGATGACGCCGGTAAGTTAGACTTGTATCTTCAACATAGAACCCATCCAAGTGCTACCCGGATCGGTGTCCTAAACACACTATGAATATGACACGAACGTGGCCGGTTAGACGGCCAACACGTGATTGTGTCTAGGCAGAGAGAAGACATACGTGGACATAGGTCAACGTTTCGATGGTTTTCAGTTCAGTTGTTCAATACTAAACACATTAAGAGAAGAAACACAAAAACTGTTACACACCATGAGACGTAAGCAACATTAACCAGAATTCCAAAATTCCACGGACCAAGGCAACCGATTCGATTGCCACAAGGATTTTTGTGCACATAGCAAAGGGTGATTTGACTTAATTAGCAACGCGAAAATTATCGGATTTTGTTGGGCAATAACACTTCAACCCGGTCTCCGGATTCACATGATGCCGAGTTGTCATGCGGTGTTTGGGGTTGGGCGATGCCCGGCTCCGATTAATCCACGGATCCACTCCAGTTTGTTGCGTCATCAGTTGCATCAAGCACTTTGGAAAATGTTAGGCTGCGACCTGAGCTAACTGACGGTTAGTTCTGCCTATGTATATGTCACCGCAACTGCAGGCGAACTGATAAACTTGAGAGGTCAAACTACCCGGTGAGATGCTCTGAGGATTATGAAGATCAAGGCTTCGCATGGTATGCATGAGCCGCAAATGGGCGATCGTGTAGGTTCGCGTTAGGGCGGATGGGAATTTACGTATCGTTTGCCACATGGTCACCCTTGAACGGAATAATAAATAAAAACTTTTGTTCCCTGCCGTTAACACCGACTTTCTTTTAATGGGATGTCTGCTGTATATGTGAATGAACTTCCCATGATACCGACATAGAATTAAGGTCTTCCGTAGCATTTCAATTTCAGGTTTTAAATTTTCGGGGCTGCAGAGACGTCTAGCTCGATAGAAAAGTTTTCACTGAGCCGCTTTTGTATGTGATCAGTGTGGAGCTTGGAAAATGAAGGTACTGTCCATTTGAAGTGGCGTTTCGGTGAAGAGTGCGCTGCAATATATATTCAACCGGTCTCATAATGAGTATATGCAGATAGCAGGGAACCACGTTGTTACACTTCCAGTGATAACGATAGGTTGTGGTGAATCGAATTCATAACGGTCAACAGCCGAGGAAATCGTCCTCTGCTGGTGAAGACTAAAATGTCATCCACATACCCTCTGGACACCAGCTTCGCGAATGCTGGCAGCAACTTGCGTTTCTATCAAACCGAGGAACTTGTCTGCTAAAATTTTCCCAGAGGGCTGCCCATAGCGACCTACTCGACCTGTTCGTATGCTGTGCCCGCAAAATCAAATGATATGTTTCCGACGCGCAATAGAATCATATCCCTTCAATGCTCCACTGGCAGACCCACAGACATTCGGGCTCAGGATGAAGCCGCATAACTTATCGACTGTCTCAAGCAGAGGCACGTTTATGAATAGGTAGTTCACACCAATGAGTTCCGCACACAGTGCGAATTGTTCGAGTGTCTCGGTCAGTTCACAGGAGTCTCTGGCAATACGAAGTCGAGAGTTTAGGTACCGGCTCTAAAAGTTTGGCAAGCCACCGCGCAACGTTTTGATAAGACGTACTGTTCATACGCATAATCGAGCGTAGCAGGTTACGGGCTTCGTTTAACTTGGGAGCAGCCCTCATTCTGGACGTCTGCGCGCCAGTCAGTTTCACTGGCCTGTATTGGGACTCATTGACGTTATACTGTGACAAGAATATCTGAAGTTTACTTGTTACTCGCTTCTGTACCAAAATGTTGTTTACCGGCGTCGGGTCTAGCTGGAACTTCCATTGTCTCAAAGAGTGGACTCTACCTTTGAAATTTGCTCAAGCCTATTAGTTGCCACAAAGACACATCCGTTATTCAGCTGCGGAAACATTACGTAAGCCATTTGTTTCAACTTCCTTATCGCCGAAAAGTGTTCAGTTTTCAGACATCAATTCTAGATTATCGTTGTGCACAAGTATTAGTTCACGAGCCATAACTGTGAAGCTGCAAGAATGGTCGGTCTTCGGAAATGTATTTTAAAACGTGATGGAGGGCGATCCTGTTAAATATATCAGTTGCTCCCTACAGCTTCTTGTTGTTTCAAATTTACGGTTCGAAGTGAGATGTGTGCTTATAAATAGCAGGAATAACTGGAAAGCTCTTATGTACACCGCCATATTCACACAGATGGACTAGCAAGCGTTTCATTCGGGTGTGTTCTTAGTCACTTACAAAGACCAAAAGTGAATATGATAATACATGACGTAATATATCAACATATGATTAAAAATATTAGTATACAGCTATAATACCCCCCTTTGCGTATAAATCTTCACTTTTTAGTAAAATGGTAATTTCAGCCAGCGCGAGTGACCGTTTCAGTGCCATAAGTGATCGCTTTTTATATCCCTGACCGTCCCTGTTGAAGAAATTTAAAACGATTTGGTCACACAGAAACCTTTTCAGCTTAAAAATGCGGTTGCAGTATAACTTACTTATAACGGAAAACGATTCCCGCTCATTTTGGATAATATATGATAACGGAAAACATTCGTTTACAGTAAATGTTAACGGTGCGTTTGAAAAAGGGTTCCTGATTGAGCGAAATTCTTCCCTAATGTGTCCAACTGAAACAGCCGCTAGAACAAAAATTGGTACTCGGAACACTCCAGTGTTCACTTTAGCTGAAATCTTTCGGTCACCCTTGCTTTGGGGGCATACCTGCACATCCCGGGATATACTGTGAGCCCTTTTGTGGTTACTTGAAGTGATTTAGAAAATGCAGGCCGGTTCTAGTTTCAAGCCTTTGCTTATTTGATTAACTTGCTTAAATGCGCAGTATTTACTATTGCAGCTTAAATTTTCAACTGTCGTTACAAATTGAACTATAAGTCACAGTTATATCCAAGAATTCAATCCTGATAACATTGGACTCAAATATGTGTATTTAAGCAATAAAAGTGCTGAATGTATGTGGGTAATTGACTGTGAATCTTGCATTTCAGAAGTAGATGTTGCTTGAGCTCCCCGGTGTGGATGCGCCTGATGTGAATGTTGACAAGGTGCCTACCTGTCTTTTACCCACTACCTCGTCCATACTGGCTCCAGGAGACAGTTGGTCGTCGCTGGAGGGGACGGAGTGCACTGTCCTCGTGACGGTGCTAGGCTCAAAGAGTGGTTCCATCCTGTGTGGAACGGGCTACGGTCCAGCCACCGCCTCGTGTATGTTTGGTGTGTATGATTTCCCAATTAGGCCGGAATGCTTCCGTTCTGCTTGTTGAAGGAGTGTGGGCCGGCTCCGTTGATGAAACGTGGCTCCCATCCGCATGCCTCCCGGTCTTATTCCTTCGGGTTTACACCGGATATGCGGTGTGTGGATGGAACTATGGGTGGTGCAGCGCAAGCCACCCATGGTCCCTCTGTAGGCGCAGGCGTCATGTGACTGTCCCCATGGACGCCACAGTGACAGGCAAATCCGGATCCGGACGCCGCCAAATCAATTGATTGTGATCAAGCCTAACAAAAGTGCCGGTTTAGAAACGATTATTTCAAAACCTTCTTAAAAACAACCAGGAAAACTATTTCTATGTGTATAATGTTTGGTAAGGAATAGCCGTTTAGGAACTTCCCTAATTTACTCATGGCATGTACGTGATTAGGTCCAAGAGGAAGGTATAATCAGTTGGTTTATATACAGCGGATTGTAACTTCCACTTTTCACATGTCCTCTTTTTCAGTCTGTCGTCTGCAAGATTCGAATTTGAGATGCAGGTAAAATTCCTAGTTAAATATTTGTCCTCAATCTAAAACCGGTCGGTAAAGCTGGATTCCGCAATATTCAGCAAAATATTGTTTAGCTGACAACGCTAAAATTAACGTCTCCCGGCTATGTGAAAGTAAAATATACTTACGTCAATCCGTGATATGTCATGTTTAAAGATGTGTATTAATGGAAAACTATTCATGGTCACTTACATTTTCCATTTTCCATTTTCAACATTACCTGTGCAACGCGTCCCCACATAACACGAGCTACGACATATTTTTGCTTGAGTGACCGTTAGCACGCTTCGGGTGGCCGCTTTTATGTAGTCAGCCACCGCATTGATACAGATTTAGGACGAACTTTGGTCCCTCAGAAAGTATATTCATTGTAGTCTTTACATTAAGCATAAATGGCTTTTCTGGTTGCAAACACCGATAACAATAAACTGAATTCGATACTCGAATTTTAGTTACGCATTTCCGAAGCCGTAAGGCAAAACCAGAAATGTTTTGTACCTCACAATCACGATCAGCTGCACAAAATACAGACACGCAGTGGCGATCTATCGGTCACTCACGCTGACTGAATGTACGGCTTATTTTAAAAGTTAAGATTTATAGGTGCCGACCGGTGGTGCTTATTATCCATCCTAATATCTAACGAAAGATACAGATGTGTTCTGCCATTTCGCTTCTTATTTTCTTTCTGCCTTTGAGAGTAACAAAAAGCACGCCCAAATTGGATGGATGGCTGTCTATCTGTGCAGACGGGGTCGTCAATTCTTTGCCATTCCTATGAATTTCTAAGGGCTGGATAGTTACGAGCTTGATGGGCGCCTCACCCAGTGGAAAATTCATTGATGCAAAGATATTGCGCAACCTGTAACGGCTAACTTTAAACTACTATTTATCTCAAGTTTAGGCAGTGCAATACGGTTAAGCGGAACTCGAAATTTACTCGTTCGAATGGTCCATTTTGAGCACGATACGCCACTTTTTTCGACTGACACAAGCGTATAGACTAAGACATGGATTGCGTGAAGATATGCTCTACACGCTGACGATAAAAATTATAATAATAACAAGACTTCTGTGAAAAAGAGGATCTAAGTAAGAAATGTAAGTTCAGGTTTATGCTGACATATAGCGCTGAATATTAGAGCTGAAGTTTTCGTAATTCGTAAAAATTTTGATAAGTTGATAAGGTATGCAACTGAATGCATTACTCACCGAGTTCTCTCTCCTTTTCTGTTAATAGAAACAGACAGCGAAAATCAATTTGGAATGAAACGTCATACTGATTAACGAAATGGTCTTTTCGAACTATGTAGCCACAAGTTTGTTAACTGGGTTTAGCTTTCCAGGCATGATAAAACACAGGCAAACTGCAAATAAAGGTTATTATGCATTCGGTAAACTGTTAGGATGGAACCATTCGTGCCAAGCTCGTTTAGTATTAAGCTTTTAGCTAGATTTGTGGCAGGAAAATAATTTAACAGTAAAGGTAGCCCGAATAAGTTTAGAACCAACTGGAATTTCATGATTTCCGAATGTTTTGCAGGTCAGGAAGCTCTTGCTCAATAAAACCTACAAAAACTGTTATCCATTCAAAACCTGAAATCATAATTGTAGCTCCGCTCACGTAGCATATTGTTGAGATAATATCGAGACAGACTTGGCAACCAATGACGGCTGATTTAACACACCCTAACGGAATTAGGTTTAACGATTACAAATTGAAAGCGCACTACAATTTGCCGAAGTTCAATGATCATTAGCGCGTATGCTACCTCCGTAAAATAAAAGTTTGCCAAGAAACTAAGGTAGAACTGATGACGGCAGATTATCTCAAGCCATTCACTTTAACCGTACGGACAAAAACTTTTGAGACTTTTCATTAGGAGCAACTGCCTAGACCTGCATCCTAGAGGAAGTATTATCCAGCCTAATATTCCGAACATTCTGTAAGGCCCGGCACAAATAAAGGAAGTTATCAGTTATGAGTCTGACTGACTATACATTGATAGGCGGTTTCCAACTAAACTTTTCTGTGCCACGTTTCTGGTGGTCATTAGTTAAGACGCCTGATAAATTGCGCTTGAAAAGGTGGAGCGGGTTCTTTACAGTTTAGCTCCAGCAACAAGCTTCAGTATGCGCTATCGGTTCCAGTTAAAGTAATAAAAGCAGCTTTTTTGAAATCGAATGACACGTTCTCCGGTGGAAACTAACCCCATGTAATAGAGAAAAGCCAGGTCACTAACAAGATGCTTTTTCCAAACATCTTCATTGAGCAGCTCATAACTTTATTGAATACCAGATGGAGGTGATATCTTAGTAGTGCAGTATAGTGTTAAATCTGAAAATGTTATTGATTTTCGTCGGAATATATTTGACAAGTACTTGAATAGAACTGTGAAAGAAACATCAGAGACAACCATTCCAAGGAAGGATGTTCCCGATTCCACCGAATGAAGAGACCGTCACCCGTCATATCTTGGGTTGTAATGCTTTTAACAAATAGCATATATGTTCTTTGCACGAAGTTGTGTTTTAGAAATCTAACAATGTTACGACCAATACACATACATCTTGAAATGGTGTTGACGACAATTAGAGCTTTAGGCCAGAAGGCGTCACTAAGGCATGCCAACAGATAAAAATAGACCGGGATTCGTTCCGAAGAATACCTTTGCTTCTTTCGTTTACCTTTCCATTCTTTAGCATTATTCTTAGGGGAACCATCTCTTGATCTTGTTTACGCCAAGCAGTTACATAGACTCGGCCCTCCATTGCAAACTCTGACAACTGCATCCAATGTGCGACAAGGTTTTAGTCAGGGTCATCCTCCATCCAGCTCTGTCACTTACTAGGTGCCTGCGATGAAACTATACAACAAATTACGGGGTATTTGTTTTGCGTTTTAGACCGACTCCGTATGCACTAGACACGGATGCTCTCATGAAACCCGACCGGGTGCACACTACAAGTGGATCCTGCTGGTAGGTTTACCAGGAAAGTATCAAGCATTTGCAGAACGGTTGTGAACTTGTACTCCCGGAGAACATGGTAACTAAGACTTGTTTGTAACTCGGAAGCATATTTATGACGGTTAATTCGGTGCAATGATAAAGACTTCATTCATTGAAACCTCAAATGAGGCAAAAAACTGCCTGATAAAATCTGGTCAAACAGTAAGGAGCTCTTGTTCACTTACAAATGCTGACTTAGATGTAAGCGTATTATAATATTATGGCTAATACGCTAGCAAGTGACCGTAAAACAAATACATTTAATGAATAGCGAATTTGCATGTAAGATATCCGGAATAAGGTATTACCTACCTACTACAGACTAGGACTATACAACCATGAAGTATGCAAAATCCATGCAGTGGGGATGCATAGTCGGCAAAGATCCTTTCCAAACTTAATGTACACTTATCTCTGGTGGCATGCAATCATGGCTGTTAGGCAAATTCCTACGGTGCAGCTGTATACCACCACTACATGGTTGTGGTATATTGCTGTGTATTGAGTACCCATACACCGTAGCTCTTAGCTAGTCCATCACAAATGTTTCACTGAGGGATAACTTGACCACTCAAGCTTTGCGCTTCATACCAAATAAAAACAACGTTAACCTCACGCATTTAATCCGGAAACTAATATTGTCCTAGCAAGTAGTTAGTGCCTCGTACTGGCATCAAAATTAAGTATTCAGATGCGTTCTATAGTTGGCCATGAAGTAAACTGCATGTGCCGTCATCTTTAATGTTGGCAATTAAAGTGCCGGTAGAGGAATGTGTTGCTCTCCAAGGCACATGCGTATTAACGCAGCAGGTATGTTTCTCATCTCAGAACTGGTATTTCCGGCCTGTTACAAAACTACGAGAACAGTTGGACTCAAAACAGCACTTTAATGGTCCCTACTTCCAAGACAATACTTAGGTAAATCAAATAGCACAGTCGTTGTGTTAGTGCTGTAAGGAGCAAAATGGCAAAAGAAGTGCGGTAACCTGGTACACTGCTCAACAGAATCTCATGATGCAAAACCTAGGTTCCATGGACTCTAGATTGGTCTATCGAAATGAAGGATTGGTGAAATTCAGTTTGAGGTGATAACCCCAAGAATGTACGCAGCATGCCTTTTTGTTTTCCTGTAGTTTATGTATCACTTCACCTTCGCAAACGGTTGAAATAAGTTGGCTTGCGCTTCCACCTGCGTTCTCATGTAGTGGCTTGATTGCATTGTCATTAATATTGAAATGGAATCGAGTAAAATGCATTAAAAATAAGCACCCACCTTTCAACGTATCTGTAGTGGCAGAATGTAATCGAAATTCGAGTTTTTTCAAAGAAATTGGTCATGAAATTGCAAGACAGGAAATGTTGCAAACGTGGCACCAGTTGTTACTTAAAACGTTTCCAACTGTCTCCGCCCAACAGTATATTCAAATGAATGATATCAGAAGGCTGTTCACACTTGTGCTGCATTGATCTGATTGAGTTTAAGTCACGGGATCGCATAATCTGAGGGATGATTGCAGTTAACCCCAAGTAAAGTGATTGGCTATTTCATGCGTCAAACCGAAGACACTTATAAGGATTGTGGCTAGTACCAGATTAATATCGGAAAACAAACTACATAGAAGTCGCAAAGAACGGCAAGCGGATGCGAAGCAACACACCGGGTTAAGACGGCACCTAAACCACGTAAGATAATTTCCTGCTACTAAAGAACCAGTAGTTTAACTGTATGTTCATCACATCTAGTCTTAGTCAGAAAATCAGCAGACCTCGAAAAAATACTGTACGGTAGTTGCTTTCGGAAATCAGCAGCTCTGTGCATTCCATCTGACCCCTGTGATCCTATAACCCGCAACTCGATCGGTGCCAGTTTGTGATTGCGAATGCTGAGCCACGAGGACGGCAATGAACGCCTTAAGCAAGTTACCAGATGCAATATTGTGAATTTAGATGGTAGCAGCGGGCTCGTAAATGGTGGCTTATCACAGAATAGGTTTTCAAATCCCTTACTAAGTTATAGCTCGATCTGGTTATGTTCTTTTATCAACATAATGTTTATGCCGGCACAGTTATAGGTATTACTAACTAGTTCAAAAAACAGAAAAGAAATGCATGAACTTTTGCAAAAAATCCACTATTGTATCTCATCACCTCCCCTGTGAGGTACAGAGCTACCTGTACGTCAACTTATACTGACGAATAAAGAAGTCATACTTGAGAGACAACTAGTTCTAGAAAACAGCGACCAAGCGACCATTAATTACGACGGGGTGTTGTGCTACGTACCTGGAGTCTTACACAGAAACTACGCGTACTGTCACACATTACAATATGAAAATATATGGAAGTGAGATAGATATTTCGAATTCTGACAAATGACTCTCACGAAAGAGACTGGGAACTATTTGGTGAAGGCCTCAAAAATTTCATCGCACTTGTTTCAGAAACCAGTTAGAGTTGCCTCAGTAGGACACTGTAGTCGAACAAAGGTATGGTAAGAACACGTAGGCCAACAGAGTGCGCTGCGTGTCGCGCTTACGGAGCCTAGACTAGCGATAAAATCTAAAGCGGATAGCCTGAAAGCAGCAAAACACTTTTTGTCTAAGAATTCAAAGTAGTTCACTAACAATCTCTGGAACATAAATTACAATAATGGAATTTTACTAAACGAGCAAGAGGCCAGGGTTCGTTAAATTAAAAGTGCTGTTGCGTCATTTGACATAATAGGCAAATTGGCTCAGACGCAGATGAAGCAAACAATACTCTACTGATGCAGTATGTTATACGGTTCTCTGCCGCGTAAAAAATGTGCACGCATACCTTGTTTATGCCGGAATTTGAACTTTGAGCAAGTTTTACCGTTGCACGCACAATTTTAAGCGATTACTGTCGGCCACTTCGGATGTTTACCTGTTTCCATAGAAGAGCCGCTCACCTTTCTAACAACCTATCACCCATCCCATCCCAGCACAATGTATGGTAGCCACAAAGCAAATCACTTTGCCACTGCGTATTCGCCTCAGTCAGGCGAGTGTCAGCTTTGCCCGTCCTGTCCTTCAGTCGGCCCATTCAAGTCAGCTCCCCCGCATGATAACGGCATATACCACTGTTCTACACTACCACTATTCCACACTAGACGGATAGACGAAACACCCAAAGCAGGATCACACGATCATATGATGTCAAACTGACGATGAGGCAGAAAACGTCACTATCGGCATACTCCCTTAGCAAAGCAGTGGCCTTTCAACCACCATGGCCACAACAGGTGTAACCCGAGACGAAACCATTTGTGTCACTCACGCATATGTCAGTATTGTCAAACTAAGACTATCATGTTTTCAATTTGCCAACCATTACCATCTGAAACATGCCAGCGTGCGTGGAATCGAAGCAGAGAAGTACAATACTATGTCAGGTTCACTTGGTTTCACTCCTGAGTATACAACGGTTCTCCTTGTAAAATGTGTACTAGAGTTAAGAAACCAGTACGACACAGTAAGTTCCAAGGCTGAACCAGATTTAAATACGCAAATAGAATGCTTGCATTTCATACATCTCCTGCAATTGCTGCTTTGAAACCAAGCGAAGGAACTAAGCCTTACTACGGTACTGCAGTAACGGAAATCTTGAGAACGCTGAATCGAACGGCCATCACAAACGAACAAAACACGCCTGGCTTTACCGCCAGCATCCTCTTGTCCAATATATCGAGGTCCACACCTTATGTAGACGCGATTTTGTCCACATACTGTCTTCGAATCCACCCGAAATTTTCATAAAGCAAACCCCAGTAGAAGAATAACGAGGCAAAATATTACCACGAAAGCAGTAGCAGCAGAAACATTTTCATTGGTTTAGTGCACGGTTTAGTAGAAACTAGGGACGACAAAATTTACGCCTATGACCCAGTAGAATGGTAGAACATCCGTGAAACGCTCTTGGTGACCTCATCCTTCAGTCAGTTTGAAGCTTACTGGTGTCTCGACACTACTAATTCATTGGCCCGAGCAGACTAAAATTTTTTGGCCGGCTGCCGAGTGGTCTGCACGTCTAGCTTGCAACCATAAGGTCGCCGGTTCCAATCCGCGTAGGGTCGGGCGTCCTAGCGGTATACTCAGCAAATACAAGGCTGTTGGTGGTCGCACGGCAGTGGAGCACCCACACGGCGCCTAAAGCAATCCAATATGTCAAATACTGAAACAACACGCCAGACTTCTGTGGAGATCGCTCTATGTGATTTGATACATTCATCTGTCAGCAGCTGTTTAACAGAAAAAGTGGCTGCATGAGACACAAGTTCTATATTCCCGGGAAGCCACGCAGCAACCAAATACCGCCGCACTCAGGACACTAAAATGAAGCACAGTCACGCACGTTGTTGGATTATATCATATCCCATAGCAACTGAGGCTGACGGCCCCATGACTGTGCAGTGGTCAGTAACGATGCTTACGGAACGGCCTGATACGCACTTGCCAGATTAGGGGTAGTTTTAACTAACCAGTTTCGCTACCGTTTACAGCTGAGCCACAGCAATAATCTGAGGTTCCAGATGCTGAATATGGTCAGTTAATGTAGCTGCGTAAAGCTCCGCTAGGAAGTTTCCATCCTTCATACATGGAAGCTACAAAACGCCTTTCCTAATTAACCGGCTTCTGCTAACGTATTTCGACGTTGAAAAACTTTTTATCCTACCCCACTCCAGCTACATTGTCATATATTTCCCCACCTGCATTGGGAGACAACATTGCTCAACTAGGGGTGTGTTTATCTGCGTAACCCGAACAATCGAGGTCGCTTGTTTTACGCCCGCTTTCGTGTGAGCAACACGTCTATATTACGAAAACGCTTTTCATTTCGTTGCTGTTTTGTGTGTGACTTTATCCCATCCTGTCCAAAGATTTAATTAAGCGCTTGATTATTTTACTCGGAATGCAACATTATTCAACCAGTTGACTCTACCGCATTCAAATAGCCATTGTGCACTGCTTTAGCCAAATGCTCACAGTGAGCAAAAAATTGATAGGACACTGAGAAATATTATCGTTTACGCAGACTCACCTTGTGCCTGCTCAACTTCTGTAATAGCAGACACAAAACTTGTATGAGAAGCATGCATCAAATAACTTCTGGTTTCGTTCTATCTTTGCGTCACTTAGGCAAAATAACGGCAGAAATAACCTTTGTATTGTCATTTGTATTATCATCATAATTGTTGTGATAGTCGTGAACATATTGCAGATATATCAAAGAGACATGAAATGCATGAAACAAATGTCACTGAACGAATCAGTAAGACAAAATCCACAACGCTTGTCTGATTCACACTCAGTGGCCATTTGCTCTAATTGGACCATCGTGTTTAGCCACCTAAACACAGAAGTACAGCTTATGACAAGCCAGTGATGCGTCCACGGATTATAGCAAGTGTGATTTCTCGTCAACGAGGAGTTGCGATATGTCAAATTATAGTTCGGAAACGAAATGTCTGACATGCATCAGGATTCATATATTTCCAGCGATAATTACAATATTTTCTTTAAATTGATAGAACTTTCTAGCTCCTAATGGACAAAATGTCATTTAACATTATTGTTGCAACTATAGGCTTGATAAACATTTAAAGCATCATGCCGCACATGCGCCACGAGTAAGTTTAGGCTAGATTTTGTTCCATGCTAGAGGTGCACTGTGACATGGGCTGCACAATCCTGCGTACTTATCATCAGCTTTAACGACTGTATCTCAAAGTGTCACTGAGGATATGGAATATAACATCGCCCGCAAGTGGTATAGACAGGCTGCAATCAGGAAAACTTGACAGAATTAAGGAGACCATCCACTCCAGTGTAAACAGTTCAGAAAGAAATCGGCCGAGATTTACGATGTCCCTACTCCCGATCTTACCTCTAGATATCTTTATTTAATTGATCTACGCAACAATGGAATCGAACTTCGGTTGCGGTGTTGCGAATCAACAATAGCGAAGATTGTCCCATTCTGATACGGTGACAATGAATGAACGAGCGTAGTAATCGTGCAGTTGCGTAGTCTGGAATTATTTCGTTGTTTCTCTGTGCTATTTCGTTGCACAGCATCGGAGCTGCACCCATTCGGCTTTTTCACAAGCCCTATCTCGAGATGCTATTTTTTCGAGTACACTGTAGCACATACTACATCTACCTGGATGTGTGTAGTCCGGTGAGTGTTTCACACATACACCCGTGCAATGGTTGCACAATTCCAACCGTAGGACTTAAAGTTAGATCTTCCTCGGTAGAGCATTCCAACAGCTTTCGGGCAAGTTCTAACTTGTGCCAGCCAAACACTACGTGAAGCTGCTACAGAGTAATCCGCGTTTTCCCAGCATCAAATTGCACTCCGCATTTAGGTCTTGTAATCAATGGGGTAAGGCACGTTAACCGTACCACCGTGGGACTTCAACGCAGACAGCCGCAATCTGCCGACACAACAGCAAAGACCTACAGACATCGCCCCAAGGTAACCGTCTGACCTCGACCTTAACGGGCCGACGCAACGACGTGTTTACTTGCTCAGAACCATGATCTAACGTATGTAAGTCTCAACACTAACTTGGCCGATAGCGCTTGCATTCAGCCTACTAGTGCAGACCGAGCAACATACGCAAAATTGGCAAACGACACGCACCGTTTCCTCACGGAAAGCTAGGCTTTAAGCTGCAGAACAGCATGTTAGATATGGCCCAAGGGGTGTACCAAACTTGGGCGATACGGTATAGATTGCACAAACTGCTGTAAAATTATCATCCTAGGTCTGAGCGCCTCAGAGACTACATAATATGGTGGATTCCCTCTGATTTTGCACTGAGTGTGTGGGTGTTCCACTGTGTTTGCACAGAAGTAAGACAAACTTATAAAGGCGATAGAGCAAGGAGCTGCAGTGAGAGCTGTCCCACGGGAACCAGAGAAATCAGTGACCGGAATTTGATGCGTAGCATCCAACTACAATTCCGAACAGCGTAGCCGGACCGAATATAAAATTATATAGTCCAGCCAACGTCTCCCATGGCTCAGTGGCTTAGGCTGTTGGCTAGTTGGCGTTTGCTTCTAGCGGTCATGGCTTCGAACCTAGTAGGCGACCGAGGAAATGCGCCCCACTGACGAGCCCTAATAGGGCGAAACGCGTTTGGTGCTTTTCCGGACCAGGCTGTGCCATGTAGCTTGTGAAACACTAGAATGAAAACCTTAAAAATAAGTAATTAGTTAGGTTTGACCACCCGATACTGAGGCGGGTCATAAAGATGCGTTCACCACTTTCCTCATCACAGCCACGTGCCACATCAAATAATGTTAGAGGAGTAATAACTTGCGCGTCCGTTGTTCCTACCTACTTGACAGATGCACTGCCCATCCTAATCCCACTCGCCGCCAAACTAGGTTCAGTTAACACTGCTAATAATACCACGGAATGCAAGACGTCGTCAGCTGTCAAACTAAACAAAAAATGGAGGACCCGAGACGATATCCCAATTCCCTGACTTTTGTGTGCTCTAATCAGAATGAATTCGGGGCGAACTCCATAAAATATTAGCTACTAGATTACACAAAATAGGGGACGCCCTGTGTCAACTAATAGGGATTCAACCTAAGCCAGCGAGTATGGTGTTCATCATCCGTCACCCAAATTCCGTATACTACAGTGAATCACGGTTACTACAGGTAACGTTTGGTAAAGATGCAGAGGCAGTTCGCTTGTCAGCCCCCTCCCCGGCACCATCTCATGCACTAGTTGAATCGTTCCAGGGGTTTCCTGGAGCGAACATTAGAAAAGCAAACAAAATCCGGATGAGTTCCTTAACCAAACAGACGTAAAATCGACCACTGTCCACGGTGTCCCAAAGCTCCAACACTGAGCGAGCTACAGGTCAAAGCACATGACTGGGATGAATTGCGTCGTGTTTGTGAAGTGCTCTCACTCGAAAATGTTATCGCTTATCCGACAGCAAGGTTACCGCTATCATCTAACTATAGAGGGTGTGGTCCCCAATTGATGGAGGTAACATTGCAATCCAAACTGATGGCAGAACATGTGATCGATATGTGACACAAAATGGGTAAAATGCTACCATCCGAAATATGCATAAAGGCGATAGACACCAGGCCCCAAATAAACAAGGTAGCACTGAGGAATGCACCATGCAGCTTAGAATAGGGACAACGTCGAAAGACACCGGCAGCTAAAGGAGGGCAGGATGGACATCCACTTGCTGGCATTGAGTGCTCTACATTACAACCCGGGATGGCCAGTGTTTGCGTCGGCGGTCCTCCAAAGAGCGAATGACAGTCAACCCCACAAAAGTTGGCATAGATCCTCGCAGGAACTCAACTATCAGTAAGACTTTTCTAACCTCTAATGTCCTCACTTGCTTGCACAAGGTCTTCACAGCAAGCTAACGGAACTTCGTATTTGTCAGGTCTCCAAGCCTTGAGATATAGTTATGGTCACAGAAATCTGGTTGAAAACGGTGGTCACTGATGCGGAAATCGCTCTACTCGGCATGACAACTATACAAATCTCTCGACTTAACGGAGGGGGCTGAGTGATCCTGTATTACTGACCCGGCCTGCATGTGGATAGCTTCCACCATTCAGAAAAGCGAGTTGTCGATTCTCGTTGGTGTCGTATGCACTTAAATCATGGTGAAGTGTGTTTACAAGCAATAGTTTACCGCCCTCCAAACTCCACTTTAGAAATAGTTCACCGCCTAGGATCTGCGATGAAGAGAGACTTGATGCTACCACACAGTCAAATGCTTCTGGTGAGGACATTAACCTTCACGCAGTCGATGTCCCAGCATCGCACAGCAACAATTCAAGGCTGATTTGCAAGAGTTAACCGCCGACATACCTCTGTACATCCATGTCACCCATTCCAAGCAATGCAGAACAGGCGACGCATCATCTGTTTTGGATCTCCTGCTCACCAATGAGGAAGTAATGGTCGGTACCGTGAATATGGATGCACCGTCTGCCCGTACCGATCAAACGATTTTACTATTTCGTTATATCTACTACACCAGTGAGGACAACGACGAAACTTACGTCGTCAAAGATTACGATAACCTGTCCGACCTCATTCAAGAAACCGATAGATTTTTTCTGGCCGAGCAGACTTCCGATGTCACTGCATGGCGTTCGCCATTCAATTCACTAGACAAGTGGCAAATAAGTCGGAATGAAAGGTCTTTCGCTGGATGCAAAGGAAGTCCTTCCTGAGAAGTCTCACTACAAAATGCATGGCCTTAAGGGATTCAGCATGGTGCTCTTACAAAGCCGGTTCGAGTAACTGAACTTGGTATTTCAGTCCAAGTGAGTGAATTTCCAATTGTGTGCACGTGAACCGTACAGATGACAGATTGTATACATACTTTAAACACTCAGTAGGGAAGGTAGCATTTGGAGCTTTTGCAAGGGAACCCTGCAGATTGCGGACTGTATTCGTTCTTGTGCGACGGATAATGTCTGCGGAAAAGGCCTCAAATTTTCACCGGCAAACCAATGACAACTCTTTGAGCATGCATGTGAACCGCCTCTGTGTCTCGAGGAACTTTCCCTCTGTTTCAAGACAGGCGTCGATGTGCGCCGACGCTACCCTTGACAGATTCGTGTTGTTAATCGGCAAGTTGTTTCTTGACAGCACCTTGGCAAATCGTCTCAGAAAACAACATGAGCGGATACATCCTTCGAAAAATCTCTCCGAGTGCGTTCCGCAGCTGTTGCAGCGCAAAGATAACAATCGATCTAACGCCCTCGCAACGGTAGCGAGGTGTCTTATTTTCAGAAGGCTAAAACAGTGGGTCCCTCATTTACCTTAATTGAACTTGGGATGCTTACGCAACCATGCAACAACTGTGCCAAGCTGACTCACGAAGGCATAATCCGGCACCAACCAAATTATCGGCGAACTTACGTACAAATCCTAAATGGCTGTATAGACAAGTCAAGAAGCTCCGCTGAGTGCAGCGCGGGATTCCCGCTTTACGCGCAACAGATAGTCTTGCGCAAACTACACAAGAGGCGGCCAACGCGCTTCGCCAA